ATGGATCAAACCCCATCCATGGATCAAACCCCATCCATGGATCAAACCCCATCCATGGGATCCCAATGCTGTGGGACAGGAACACACGGACACGGGGGGACAGGGAGGGGACATGGGAACACCCAGAGCTGGAGACACCCAGGGATGTCCCGGTGCTGGTGACACTGGAGATGTCCCAGTGCTGGTGACACCCAGGAATGTCCCAGTGCTGGTGGCACCAGGGATGTCCCCGAGATGTCCCCGCGCCGGTGGCACCCGGGCTGTCCCAGCGCTGGTGGCACCGGGGATGTCCCTGAGATGTCCCAGTGGTGGTGGCACCAGGGCTGTCCCTGCATTGGTCACACTGGAGATGTCCCAGCGCTGGTGGCACCAGGGATGTCCCTGAGATGTCCCAGTGGTGATGGCACCAGGGCTGTCCCAGTGGTGGTGGCACCAGGGATGTCCCTGAGATGTCCCCGCACTGGTGACACCCAGGGATGTCCCAGTGCTGGTGGCACCGGGGATGTCCCTGAGATGTCCCAGCGCTGGTGGCACCAGGGATGTCCCAGCGCTGGTGGCACCAGGGATGTCCCTGAGATGTCCCAGCGCTGGTGGCACCAGGGATGTCCCTGAGATGTCCCGGTGCTGGTGGCACCAGGGATGTCCCTGAGATGTCCCAGAGCTGGTGACGCCCAGGGATGTCCCAGCGTTGGTCACACTGGAGATGTCCCAGCGCTGGTGGCACCAGGGCTGTCCCTGAGATGTCCCCGCACTGGTGACACCCAGGGATGTCCCAGCGCTGGTGGCACCAGGGATGTCCCTGAGACGTCCCCGGTGCCATCGGTGCCACCCCCCAGCGCCGCCCCGTCCCGGTGTCACCTCTGGGGACGACGCCGACGCCGTGATGGATTCCCCGGGACTCGGCAGCGGCGCCGACGGAGCCGGGAGCGCGCCGGGAACGCCGGGAGGGTGAGGGGACAACGGGACGGGCACGGGGACGGTCCCGGTGCCACCCCGGTGCCACCCCGGTGCCACCCCGGTGCCACCCGGCCTGTGCCCAGCCAGGGGCTCCGGAAGGGCCGCGCCGGGATCCGGGAGCAGCCGGGAAAGGCGGAATTCCGGCCGGAGCCCAAGGGGCAGGAGCGGCCAGGTGAGCCGGGCCGGGAGCCGTGGGAAGGGGCTCCGGAGGGACAAAATTCCCACTGGGAATTCCGGGAGGAGCAGCACAGGGGTTTTCCAGAGGTTTAATCCCACTGGGAATTCCGGGAAGGAGCAGCACAGGGGTTTTCCAAGCCCAATCCCACTGGGAATTCCAGGAGGAGCAGCACAGGGGTTTTCCAAACCCAATCCCGTTGGGAATTCCGGGAGGAGCAGCACAGGGGTTTTCCAGAGGGTCAAAATTCCCATTGGGAATTCCGGGAAGGGGCAGCACAGGGGTTTTCCATGCCCAATCCCATTGGGAATTCCGGGAGGAGCAGCACAGGGGTTTTCCAGAGGGTCAATCCCATTGGGAATTCCGGGAGGAGCAGCACAGGGGTTTTCCAGAGGTTTAATCCTGTTGGGAATTCTGGGATGGGGCAGCACAGGGGTTTTCCAGAGGGACAAAATCCCATTGGGAATTCCGGGAGGAGCAGCACAGGGGTTTTCCAGAGGTTTAATCCCACTGGGAATTCCGGGAGGAGCAGCACAGCGGTTTTCCAAACCCAATCCCATTGGGAATTCCGGGATGGGGCAGCACAGGGGTTTTCCAGAGGGACAAAATTCCCACTGGGAATTCCGGGATGGGGCAGCACAGGGGTTTTCCAGAGGTTTAATCCCACTGGGAATTCTGGGATGGGGCAGCACAGGGGTTTTCCAGAGGGTCAAAATTCCCATTGGGAATTCCGGGAGGAGCAGCACAGGGGTTTTCCAGAGGTTTCATCCCGTTGGGAATTCCGGGAGGAGCAGCACAGGGGTTTTCCAGAGGGACAAAATTCCCACTGGGAATTCCGGGAGGAGCAGCACAGGGGTTTTCCAGAGGGACAAAATTCCCATTGGGAATTCCAGGGAGGAGCAGCACAGGGGTTTTCCAGAGGTTTAATCCCACTGGGAATTCCGGGAGGAGCAGCACAGGGGTTTTCCAAGCCCAATCCCATTGGGAATTCCGGGAGGAGCAGCACAGGGGTTTTCCAAGGCCAATCCCGTCGGGAATTTTGGGAATTCCGGGAATTCCGTGTCCGCAGGGCCGGGCGGGGCCCGGATCCAGCCGGGTTTTCCCTTTGGATCCTACGAGCCCTCGGTGGCCTC